GCAGGTGTGGGGGAGATAGTTTGCATTCGGTGGTGTTTTTTTCCGCTTTGGCATTATGTTTTCCGGTCATCTTGGAATACTTGCAGAGTTAGCGGAGTTCTAAACCCACCTACTATTTTGCATGATAAAATATACGTCTTGGACAACAAGTTCAAAAAAAATCTATATCAATTGCTAAAATTTCGATATTTGTAATATTTATTCAAGATGTATAATACATGTCACTCTAAATAGTTGCGGACAAGCAGCCTTCCTTTTTCATCGCTCATTTTCGGACGGAAAACAAAGATGAAAAAATGATTGGGTTGCATGAAGTGATGGAGCTCTACAAGAGCTTACAATACACACATTGCGCTTTCTGAAAATATATATTCTAAAAATTAAAAAAATTCTTTCCTAAAGAAAGTCCGAAAATGGTCGCGTCATAATGTCGCGGGCAATAATTCTTCGAAGCGAAAACTTTCCTTTAGGCCTTTGTTTGGGGCAAAAACAGAAGTTTTCTTGACAGATAAGCACACTATATTGTGCTCATCGAGGACAATGATCAGATAGTTGTGCTTCCAAAAAACCCAAGCTTGAGTTTTATTTTGCTTTTTTCCAGAAAATAACTTCTAATTCCCTTTTTCAAAGCAAATTTCTTTACATGGAAACCTATTCAAGACATTCCAACAAAGCTACTCAATTAAAATGGATGCTCTTGGCCATCTTCTATGCATCGGACGTGTGCTGGTGAGTTTTTGAAAATGGCTCTTGACAGTGCATGCACATGATCTCACCTGCACCTCACCACTGACTTGCACCGATTTGCAGGCTTGTAGCTCGGCCGTCAGTCACTCCACGGGTGCCTTCATATCGCGCCGGCAGCCGCCGCTAGCAGCCCGTAGCAGCCGCTGGCCTTTGTCATAGAAGCGCAAAATCATCAAATTCTTACTATTTTGAGTGCAACCGCCCACGCTTTCCATCTTCCTCGTCGGTCTCATATATCATATTTGTGTCCATTGTTGTTAATATCTTACTGCCGTAATTGGTTATCCTGCTGATGCTCAGTTTGCCTCTCGCTGTCGAACCATATTTCGCCAAAGTTCGGTGTGATTTCTTCTGACTTTGAATGCGTCCAGTTTCTGCAGTATTTATGTATGGTTCTGCTTCAATCATATACTTGGCCAGTGCTTATCTTGAATAACTCTGTAATGTGTGAGAGTGGAACTGCACATTAGTCGGAATGTGAAGAAAGAGGCGTGGGAGATCTAAAGCATGGACAGGCGCACCAAACTAGTAAGAATTTGATGATTTTGAGCATCTATGACAAAAGCGGCCAGCGGCGGCTACGGGCTGCTGGCGGATGCTGTGGGCTGCCAGCGGCTGCTAGCGGCTGCCAGCCACTGCTACGGGCTGCTAGCAGCGGATGCCGGCGCGGTATGGAGGCACCCTACGAGCGTGGGCATAGGCTCATTCGAAAGAGCGTGACTTCCTCGACACGATGGTATGCAAATGAAGTGAGTTTGGGAAGTCCCTGAGATTTCACGGATGGGGTGAAAAAGCGAGCTTTGGAGGAGAATGGAGTAAAGGCTCTTATCAACACTAGAACAATCTTAGAGCTCCGAAATGTACCTATTACAAGAAAATTGATAGTTTTGAACTCCCAGGATGGAACCGTTGGCGAAAGGAGCTTTGCTCAACTTTAGCTCAAAAATCCTTAGCCTACCACTGAAGCTGCGCTTTTTCACCCATTCCGTGAAATCTCATTGACCTTCCGAACTCAACTCATTTGCATACCTTCGTGTCGAGGAAGTCACGCTCTTTCGAATGAGCGTATGCCCAGGCTTGTAGAGTGACTGCCGGCCGGGCTATAAGCCTGCAAATTGGTACAAGTCAGTGATGAGGTGCAGGTGGGGTCATGGTCACGCACTGCAAGAGCCATTTTCAGCAAAGTAACTCACCAGCACATGTCCGATGCATAGAATATGGCCAAGAGCATCCATTTTAACTGAATAGCTTTGTTGGAATGTTTTGAATAGGTTTCCATGTGAAGAAATTTGGTTTAAATAAAGGAATTGAAGGTTATTCTCTGGAAAAAGCAAAATGAAACTCAAGCTTGGATTTTTTTTTTGGAAGTAACCACTATCTGATTATTGTCCTCGATGAGCTCTACAATATAGTATGCTTACTATCAGGAAAACTTCTGTTTGCCCGAACAAAGACCTGAAGGAAAATTTTCGCGTTCGAAGAATTGTTGTGCGCGACATTATGGCGCGGCCATTTTTGGACTTTTTTTAGGAAAAGAGTTTTGAAATGTTTAGAGTTCATCTTTTCCAGAAAGCGCAATGTGTGGATTGTAGCCCTTGAAGAGCTCTATCACTTCATGCAACCCAGTTATTTTTTCATCTTTGTTTTCAATCCGAAAATGAGCGATGAAAAAAGGAAGGCTGCTTGTGTTGGACAGATGGCTTATGCGTGGACCGCTTGACCGCTTAGAATTTTGCCCACATGCCATTGCCATTCACTGGCTGTTCTGTTGATCTGATTTTTGATACTTCAGTAAGAATGAGTTCTCACCGTCAACATATTGTTTCTACGGTTTCGTGTAAACGGTAGCAACAGAGCTCATTCATTCATTTCGCGGTGAGAAGGATGCAGTGAACCGAGGAAGCAGGTGAGCCCGCTGTTACGGAGGAGTTCGTAGCGCACTGTGATGCTGGTTAGGGTCAGTAGCAGGATCGACAAAATCAAATCAACATACCGGCCCGGCGATTGCCAATCAAAAGTAGCCCAAAATATTTGTCGAATAAGTTCCAGCTCAGTTGGTTCCCGTACAACGCCGTCTGTGAGTAGCGGGTTCAACGCGTGAGGCGGAGAACAATGTGAGGTAGGAGAGTTAGAGAAAGTAAGACAGTGTTCTGCTTTTGCTACGTCCAAAATATGTATAACGGCTCAATCTCGCATCAATTAAAGGCAGCGTCCGGGCAAAATTTCGCCTCTCATGTTTCTGCCATTCTGGGGCCTTTCCGTGGCCCTGATTACAGTTGTAAAATCCAAATTGTTCAAAACTCCCAAAAAACCCGGTTCTTGGGGACCCTCTCTTCAAGGAGCGGACGAGTTTCGAATTGCTCGTCTCCATCGTTGCCAGCGGGAGGAGCTGCAACTGCACGGATGCAGTTGCATTGCAGTGTGCAGTGCAACTGCAATGCAACTTGCAATGCAACCGCACACCTGCGTAAGCACTCGTCCTCAGGGGTGGTTTGTGATACAAAGGGGCGGCTTGTGATACGTATCACAGGCCCGTATCTCCTTTTGAAGGGCACATCAAAGGATTGGACCAACGCAGATCGGATACTCATGGGCCCATCTTTACAACTATGTGCTAATCTGGGTGGATGGATCTTGCCTGGACGCTGTCTTTAAGACCTTGACTTGGACGGGAGAGGGACTAGCAGTCAGTATGTGGTAGTCACTTCTGCATACTAGGTACTTGAACAATCAAAGCGCGAGAATTTTCTGGAGATCACGACTTCTAAAAGAGACGTCCGATCAGCAAGAATTTATTAGGCAGAAAGAAAGGTCACAAAGAAAATCAGTAAAAGATTTGTCAAACGTTCTAGCATTTGTCGCGACTACAGTTCAAAAAAATCACTTGTGCATTTGTCTTTGTCAGCTTGGGCTGTCGCGAGCAACATTGAATTTTGCTTTGAACATTGTTAGAAAAAGCATGATTCCCCTTCAATCACATTGTATGATATCAATATTATATTATTACACATATTATTACACCATTCCTATTCTCATATCACATTCGTCGTGCCTCAATTCTATATGCCCGTACTATGTTTTTTGTTACCACCCTATTCGTTTAACTCTCTGTAATTCCCAGCTGTCTAGTTCAAACTTCGTCAAAATCGATAAATTCGAGAAATGCAGTGGGTATTTTCCTTAATCAATGCTATTTGCGTTATCTCCACGCACACTTATTCCCTATGCTAACTTCCGTCCCGTTGCTCAAGTCTGCGAAAATCGATATATTATATATATATATATATATATATATATATATATATATATATATATATATATATATATATATATATATATATATATATATATATATATATATATATATATATATATATATATATATATATATATATATATACTAGCGACCCTACGGGTCGCTAGCAAGTGGGTCGGGGCAGATACATATAGGGCTTAGGTTTGACTAAAAATATTTCTAAATAAATTTCCTGTTGCTGAGAACATTTTTGCGAAGAGCATTCTACAAAAGGAAAACTGCTCGAAGAAGCAATAATCTTTACAAATCATTCATTTCTCGAAATTCCTGATCCATCCATGATATTATTTTTATCTCGTTTACACGCTTTTTATGCAAATTCACTCCTCACACAGAC